CGCCAACATCGGGGGGGGAGCGGCTGACCTCCACCTCAGCCTCAGGAGGAGGGACGGCTGTTGGTTCTGCTGACATTTCGTCCAACACGCCTCCATCTTCCTCCTCTATTTGTTCCTCCTCCATTTGCTCCTCCTCTTCCTCTTCTTCCTGCTGCTCAGGCTGTCCTCCCAGAGCCTCCTCATCCTCCTCCTGTGTGACATGATTGTCTTCACTCTTCATGTCCTCCTCTTCCACTTCTTCCACCTCCTGCTGCTGCTCTTCCTCTTCCTCCTCCTTGTCCTCCTCCTCCTCTCCTGAGCTGCTCTGGATGTCCACACAACTGTCCTCCGTGAGACTTTGTGACAGCTGGATGCAGCCGCCGTGCTGCAGCTCCATGTTGGACGGTTCAGGACTCAGCAGCTGCTCCTCCTCAGGAGGAGGTGGACTCTGCCTCCCGGCCTCAGGAGCGGGACTCTCCTCGCTCTGCTTGGCCAGAGTGAAGGGCATGCTGCGCTCCTTCAGGGAGGAGCTGCGGCGCAGACAGGAGATCTCTTCGGCGTGCTCGTTGGCTGAGGCGTGGAGCTCCTCCTCAGGAGGCCACTTGGCTTTGATGAGCTTCCCAGCAGAACCTCCATCTGCGACGGTCGCCGCTCCGCAGCCGCCGTCCTCCGACTCTGTGCGCGGAGGCCAGGAGATCTTCAGCCGACGGGCCTCGGCGGGCCGGTCGGACTTCTCCGGCGTCCCCTGTCCCAGAGCCTCCATGGTGGCCGTCAGCACGTTGACTTTGGCCAATGGAGAGTCCTCCACGCTGGGGCTGTCCAGGTCAGAGGCTGAGGAGGAGCTCTGGACCGTGGGTCTGGTCTGGTCGTTGGACTGAGGTGAAGTCTCACAGCTCTCGCCCTTGGTCTCCCACAGCTCCTTGTGGGGTCTGTGGCCGAAACCCTCGTCATAGTTGCCTTTGGCTTTGAAGAGCTGATTGAAGTGTGGCTTACAGTAGACGCTGTTGTGGAGTGAGGCGTAGTTCACCAAACTGGAGGGACGGAAAACAGGCGAGAGAGTCGGTGTTCAGCCTTATGGTTATATATACATATATACATTCATATGTTTGTGTGTGTGTGTATATATACATATATGTTATATATACACACGTATGTACATATATTTATACTATATATAGTATATATATACACACATATGTGTACACACATATATATACATATACTATATATGTATATATATATATATACATATATAGTATAAATATATGTACATATGTGTGTATATATATACTATATATAGTATATATATACACACATATGTGTACACACATATATATACATATTCTATATATATATCTATATATATATATATATATGAATGTCATCCCATTTTCAGCCACTCACCTGAGTTTGGAGTTACAGTGGAAGCAGCGGAAACAGGAGCTGTGATAAATGCTCTGATTGGCCACCAGTCTCTCCAGGGGATACACCGTCTTCAGACAGGACACACAGGTCTCTCTGATCGGCAGCTGGAAGTTCTACACGAACAGAGAAAAGCCGTTCATTTAACACAGAACGCCAAATGTGTGTGTGTTCCAGTAAATTAGATCTTTTGTCTGAAGACTCACTCTGGGAGTCCTGGGCTGAGAGGAGTCTTTCTGATTGGATGCTGGAGTTCCAGGAGCTGATCCTGAAACACAAAAATATATTTTTTTTAAAGGACAGTAGCATGTACTGCACACTAGAGGGAGCTGTTGTCCCGTTGATAAATATCCACAAAAGAATAAATTGGGATAAATCTGACAACAGTTTGGCTGCAGGAATAAAACCAATATATTTTTTTTAAATTTACACATTTATATTATGGCATTTATCTTAGGTATTACAAATATTTGTGTGTTTTTTCTTTACTGAACTCCATTGATACTGAGTAGAATGAGTTACCGTTGCTCTCGGCAGGAAAACCTTTTCTGCCATTTGGCTCCGACTCTGGACTCTAAAAAAAGAAAAAAATGAAACATTGTGATTCTGTGACACTCGGTGACTGCAGTTCTGTAACTTTACACTTTGTTAAAGACAGGACTCCTCACCATGTCCAGATTGAACGGAGGGACATTTTCCTTCTGCTTTCCACAGAAACTGTCCAGCTGATCAGTCTGACGGAGACAAAAGACACAAAGACTCATAATATCAGATGATATTACAGACGTTTTTGACTTTTCATTTCATTTTAATATGTTGAGTTTTTTGTGGATGAGACAAAACAAAACTAATCCAAACAGGATTTGTGGACGAGACAAAACAAAACTAATCCAAACAGGCAGCAGTTCCTCATGTATCTGACCTCGGACCAAAGGTGAAGGTTCACTGTTAAACTAACCCACATCATTTCCTGTTGTCCACCTAATGGATTAAACGCACACTTACATTTACATCCTGTTTGGAGATGGCAGCCTGGTAGAGGGCCATCCGGTCTCTGAGAGGAGTGGAGTCTGCAAGACTTCCATCTGTTGTAACGACACACACACAGAGACATGAGACGTTAAGACAGAAACACAGAAGAAATAACATGATTCTAAACTTTAAATCAGTTAACCTCAGATTACAGACCTTCTGTATCTGTTTGAATGTATTAATTCTATTTTTTAGTCACAGTCATACGGGTGAGGGAGGGGTGTGTGTGTATGGGGGGGGCAGGAACACAAGGTCAGGAGGAAGAGAAGCTGTCGTTTGTCGCTTCCTGTTCTGGACTAAACTGCTGATCCTGGTGCTTCGACCGTGGCCTCGGTCGTCACTAACGAGCCTTTTCAGTTTTTCAGAGCAGGGTGTGATCCGTCACAGCTCTGTGTTTGTTTAAGGAGATTTTATTTGATAGCAGAGAACGGCAGGATGCAGACAGAACACAGATGTTGGTGTTTCCCTCCGTCAGAGGCCACTGCAGCGCCTGGTTATGTTGGCACAGTTTTCACACAGGATGCCCTCCCTGACGTTAGCCTTCCCGTTCTCTGGAACTGGCACTGGTAAACTCAGGAAAGACGGGTCGTTTATGCCAAGTCTTTTGCCCGGCAACACAGACACAAAGCTGGATAAAACGTGTTCTGGGAGGAGTTTCAACTTTTCCTCCATTACAGACTAATCAATACTTGTCTGTTTGTGTAGAGGGTAAAGTCAAAGACACACAGCTGATTCTCTCTGGTTCCAGTCTGACTTCACTTAGTTTTTTTTTTTTTTTTTGCGTGTTACATAAAGTGTAACTTTGTTAAGTTGTGTTTATCAGCACTCTGTGTTCACTTTCCTGGTTTTGGTTTAACACGTTGTTCCTTGTTGGAATTATTATCAGTAGAGAAAAAAGACCCAGTAGGGGGCAGTAATGCAACTCTGAGGACAAAGAAAAGCAAGGAAAACCCAAAGGGAAGATAAAGAAAAAACAGTTGGAGTGGAGTTAACAGGGTGACTGATTATTGTAAGTAAAAAATACATCATAAAATAAAAAATGACAAATGATTTAATATATAAACAAACTTTAAGGTTTGTGTTAGAATTAAGAAACAAAAATAAAAAATGACACAGGATTTAATATATAAACAATCTTTAAGGTTTGTGTTAGAATTAAGAAAATATACAAGTACTTCAACAAGACTCGTCTCACCACCGACTTATTTCGAATTTTTGTACTGATCGATCAATGTTAATCCCCAGACACCCTGTCATTGATCTGATTTTAGATTTTAAATTATTTACAGCCCTAATTAAGATTTATACAAAAAAATCCTAAACAAAGAAACCAGGACCTAATTATTCTTTATCTTTTAACAATGCCATCCTTCATGAGCATTATTAAGAAATAGAAATGACGTAAAAAGAAAGTCATAAAAAAAACATGTCATTCTCAATCAATAATTCAAACAACAACAACAACCTACCGCCCATGATCTGGTCCATCGTCTGCTCTCTGGAAACCTGCAGACAAGAGGAAAACATTATCATGGTGTGTCCAGAGAAACATTTGTTTTTACACACACAGACACACACACACACACAGACACACACACGAGGCACTAGCGTCCATCAGGACGATCAAAGCACAGAGGGTTGAAGAAGATCGGTGTGTGTGTGTGTGTGTGCGTGCCTGTGTGTTTCCATGCAGACTACTTTAATCCCCTTATGGACTCAGAGAGACTGAGTCTGAGACAGATGACCGTCTGTCCATGGGCATCGGCCAGGAAACACAATGATCTTTTTAGAGTCCGGCTTTAAAATCCTGTTCAACAATTCTGTTCTCTTAAAACTGACAGTTAAATTCTGGTGATTTAAAACTTCAAAACTGAACCAGACGTTAAAGATGAATCATTGTAAAACTATCAAGACAAAGGCAGAAAAAAAAAACTGTCATCGTGTGTCGACAGTTACTAGGCGTGTAGGAAAATATCGATACAATGAAATATCGTGATATTTTCTTTCACGATACTCGACAACACTGTACGATCGAAAAACTGTTTAAAACACGTATATACACCGTGGTGCCTCTAGCATCACAGTATCACAGTAAATCATATCACCAGATTCTCACCCCTCACAGTTACAGAGTGGGTTCAAATATTCTCAGGCTCCTGATATACAGTGTGTGCAGAACAAGACAAACACCAACAACAGAATCACCTCATGTTTCATGTCAAAAATGAAGCAACTCTTTAAAGGTTATCACAACAATAAAAGTGATGGGAGGTTTTTTGTTGTTTTTGTTGTGATAACGCCTGTTTCATCTGCTGGAGCCAAAAAAAAAAAAATCCCAAAACAGACAAGTCTGAACTCCATTCCCACTGACTGGAGTAAAGACTGACATCAGCTCCTCAGTCAGATTACACAACACCAGCCTGTGTGAACAGTTACGTGAATCTCAGTACGGAGCGTCACTTTCTGTCTGTGTTGGTTTGAGATTGAACGTCAGTTTGAGGATGTGTTTGTACGTGTGTGTGTTAGTTCCCTGAACAGTTGGGAAATGTTTAACAAACAAAAAAAAAAAAACCAGACGTGAGGCTCAGTGGTGAGACAGGGTGTTACACAAGAGTCAGACTCCCTGATGTTTATCAGTGAGTCATGGTTCTGTTTCAGTTCATTAAACGTTCCCTTCATACATCACACATCTACCCAGCAGTACTGTGTAGTATATGTGATACAGATACAGATGATATAGAGATGAAAGTTCTGAGCTCTTCATGGACAGGGTTAGAGGTGAGAAGGTCAGAGGGACAGTTAAGGTGGAGCAGTTTGGAGATAAAGTTGGAGAGGAGATGTGGAGATGGTTTGGACATATGGCACGTGCTGAGGAGAGAGTGGACAAAGTTGATGTTGGAGATAGAGCTCCCAGGCAAGAGGAGGACCTGGAGATGGTTGGTGTAAATGCAGAGGAGATGGAGGCAGATGATCCGCTGTGGCCTCCTCTGAAGAGAACAGCCAAAAGAAGGAGTAGCACTGAAAGTCACCGTCCGTTCAATATGTACCTTTGAAGGAGAAGTCTGCTCACAGAACGACTTACTGTCAAAAATCTGTGTTCAATCGATTCAGGTCTGTGCACAAAAACCGTGGATTTCCACTTCGACACTGACTTGGACTTTGTTTTTACGACTTGGAAGAAACGTGGAGCAAGAAGAGTTCAAGGGATGACTTCATAAGACGGAGAGTCTGAGAGTCTGAGAGTCTGAGAGTGAGGAGGAACGTCGTAAATAAATCACACACACGTATGACACCGTGAACTCCCAACAAAATCACTACCAACACGACCACCATCATCATCAATATCATCATCATCATCATCATCCTAATGAGGAATCTATCTCTGCCTGGAGGGGGATTAGAGAGGTGGGGGTCAGAGACCATACTGCAGGTTTACGTACAAACATATGTCAGAGAGTGTGTGTGTCATACAAACATATGTCAGAGAGTGTGTGTTTGGTGTGTGTTTGGTGTGTGTGTGTGAGTGTGTGTGTGTAATGTAACACCATTGTATTTTACACCAGACTGGACCCTATGATCAGACAAAGAACCAACTTCTAATCCTGATACTGTTAAAGCTGTGATCCAGCCCAGTCCCCTTATTGACCCCACCCTGTCCCTGAGACACACACACACACACACACACACACACACACACACAGAGCACTCCTCCCAAAACAAAGAAAGAGGAAAAAGCCACTAACTTATTCAAGTGAATATTTTACAAATCGATGTTAAAAACGTAGGAAACCCAATAATCCTCCTATTTGACCTGGACTTTTCCAGAGCTCTGATTTTCACCCACACATTGACACAGTTCAAAGTGAGCTCACATGACCTAAAAAAGAAGAAGAAGAAGCCAGTGATAAAGTCCCGTCTATGAAGTGGCTGTTTTCATGTTTTCAAAGAGGCCTTTTATACTTCACAGCTGCAGACACAGTGAACACATCATCATCACCATCATCATCATCATCAACAGAGTCAGAGCAGGGGCCTCTGGGTAGACACACAGCCAGAAGCTAAGAAACACACGCGGAAGTGTGTGTGTGTGTGTGTGTGTGTAAATGGAAAAATATAGTTACCTTTCCTGAAGGAAAAAAAATAGAGAAAGTCGAAGTAAAGCCACTCCTGCAGGGGGTTTGATGAAGTGACTGAATTCAGCAGTGACAGCACTTTGGAGACAGAGAGGGAGAGAGAGACAGAGGGAGACTGAGAGAGAGAGAGATGCAGACTGAGCAGACTGCACAGAGAAGATGCAGGGAAGGGTCTCCAGAGAGGCCTTTTTGTTGGGCGTGAGGGGAGGGGGTGTGAGGGGTATGAAGAGGCGACAGGGAGCAGGTGTTCCTGAGGAGGGGGGGGGCTGCTGGGAGAGGGGTGTGTCTGGATTAAGGTAGGCAAGACAACAAAAGAAAAAGGCTGGCAAAGTGTGCCACGGCAGCACAGACTGGAGAGGGGGGGGCTTTTTAAGGGATGGGGGGGGTTTCGTTTGTCATGCTGCCACTGCCCCAGAAGAAAAGCAGCAGTCGTCCGGGGCGGAGCCTTCTGGGTCAGTGGTGGGAGAGCAGCTGGTGCAGGGGTGGAGAGGAGGAGTAAAAGGAGGAGTTTAGCAGGGCTGGGCTCCACGACTGTGTCAGAGGAGGGAGCAGTGGGAGGTCTGGGAG